TCTCACGCACTTCGAAGCAATCCCCCAGACAGACCTGTCAGCTGGGTGGCTTGCTCACAAATCTAAGCTTACTCACCTTCATGTCAGATGTGCACAGCTGTGAGCACCACCATCTGGGCTGTATCCTCTGTATACAATATTAGGCTGATTGCAGATGAGCTGTGGAAACAGCATAGCCATAGCATCATTTAGAAATTGTCTGCTGGGGCGGGGGGAACCCACACTATGCTCTCTTTATGAGGGGATATGAGAAAATGTGCAGAGCCAAACCATGCTTTCCACTCTGGCCTGGAGCAAGAGAGGAGGTGTGAGCTAGCCCGGGGTGCATGGCACATTTCCTGCCTGCTGCTCTATTGTACCAAGGGAGGAAAAAAGCAAAGTCTGCTGGAGAGGGTGCCCCTACCTGTCATCCTGTGTCTGACCAGGGTACAGAGGGCAGAGACCGTAAGTGTAAGTGGGTGTCTCATCTTCTCAACTGCTCCTAGTGGTGACTTTTCTCTGGGTATGCTTCTCATCCAACCCAGTTCCTAGGGCAGTTGTGCCCTTTGGGGGCTGATTAGGGCTTAGTTGTCCTTCCTTCCTGTTCATGCAAGCAACACAGGTCTCACCTACCCTGGTATATATAACAGGACTTCCTGCAAGATCTTGTTAGCCTGGACATCTTGTGTAATCTCACAACAGTTCCCCTCATCTTTGATCATGATGTTCCACTTAGAGAGCACTTATATTCTGGAGGGGCTGAAAGTGAAGAATGATGCAGTTGTGACTGGTATTTCAGGGGTGCTTGGAGATACTCAACACTGTTGAATGCTCCAATATACAGTGAGGAGCAGGAGAGCTTTGTTTAATGTTGCCAGGGAAGGGAGTCCTACCTCTCTGCTCAAGGCGTAGTCTTTCGATACCTCCTTTACCTCCCTAGAGGGTTTACAGTGTAGGACCAAGGCTCTGCCACTGCCGTATGCAGCCATGTGCCCCTCCAGGGATATATTTTGTCATTGGAAGTGTTAAAACTTCCTTCCCCCCCGTCCGTCTCGGAGACAAAGAATTGGCACTTTTATTTGCAATAAACAGTTGCCCTGCATAGCTGTGAAGAGTGCTGTGAAGGGAACACAAACGTGACAGATAAAAGCACTGCTGGTTGGGTCTGAGGGCATTTGCTAGAGTGAGAGTGATGTTCAGCTGTAGCCGTGGTTGCCAGGACTCAATGGATGCTGACCCTTGCTGCTGACAGGATTATAACCTTTTGTATCTGTGACCCACACCAGCACTCCAGCGTGTCACACCTTTGTTACTGGTACCAGGATTGGAAATAAAGACCGCTTTCTTGTCAGCAGGGCTGAGTGACACATCTTCATTACCCTGGTGCAGGAGAAAATCTGCCTTTTTGTGTCCGTCTCTGCGCTAGGGAATAGTCAGTTACTCCTAGCACAGACCTTGCTACTGTGATTCTCTTAAGCAGAGCTTTGGTCTCCCACCTAAACATGGAGCATCCGTGCTAGTTACAGGATGGAAGCTCCTTTCTAAAGATTTCTATCTTTACGCCGCGACCACTAGGACAGTTTGACCCACTGTTAGCTGCACAGACCATGAAAAAATTAGATACTGGGGATGTGAGGCAATGGCCAAATTGGTTGGGTACAGATGGGAACAATGGCCTTCCCCATGGTGTATTTGATGCTCTGTATGCATGTTGTTGTATTGTGGGAATGTGCAGGGGTGGGGAACATATTTCCTCTTTGTTTCTGAAATGGTAGCTGAAGACATTGCAGTGGCAGTGGTGGGAGACTCAGTGCTACTCACTAAAGGCCATGTGCACCATGTCAAATAAAGAGAAGAAAAATAATTTTGGGAAGCTCAATAATAAAAAGCGACTTCATTTTGAAAAGCAAAAGATTATCCCTCCTCAAATACCCCAAAGACTTTTTCCAGGCAGGGAGCAGAGCTCTGCCGTCACAGCTGCTTTGGGAAGAAGGCACTTGCAGGACTGGAACAGCAGTAATCCAAGTGGCCCCTTTGGCCACCGCTGTCTGCTGAGTCTTGAGGGCTTTGCGGTGCCAAAATGCAAGTTCTTCAGAGTGGCTGTATGCAGCAACCAGACCTGCCTCCCAGGGGATGATTTATAGTGTACTTTCTAGACCACAGACTTACCTCAGCTTTAGATTGTGAACTTTGTAGGAAAAATTGATAAACCTGCAAGAGCCACAGTCTCGACAGAGATTTCCAGGTGCTTCTAACAAGATTCTTCTGAGGGAGTGACTGCAGGCTTAGGCCTCCAAGAATGCTTCAACAGCCCAGCACGTAGAAGCCCTTTGGCTCTTATTGCAAGCAGTCCTACCCTTGCCCTGAGTTATTGAGCTCAAGAGCTTAGCAATGAGCACTTGCCCTTACGTACCATGATAAGGTATTGATATTAAAATTGTGTTTGGTTTGGGGGTTTAATTTCTGCATATACTATTTTTTCTGTGTCTTACATGTGCAATCATAAACCAGGAGTTGGGTTATTCAACTCCCCAAAATGTTTTTTAGCTCTGTGCTATGACACAGAGTCTCTGATTGTTGAAGCAGAGGGGATAGGAAGCTGTGGCAAGAGTGGCAACCCTGGTGATGAGGGCAAGGCCTATCGTGATAGTTCCCTAAATTCCTACTATTGTGGATTTAGACATATTGTAGCTATGTATTTGCAGCAGGCATTTACAGGTGGCTCCTAGTCATAGGATGCAAAGGGGCACCCACTAGAAATTTAACTCTGCATTCTTCATAGCTCAGGTTTCCAGTAATATCTCCAGGAAAATTATGGTATCTGTGCCAGTTCATTGGCTTCAAAGTTTCAAGTCCTGGAATTCAAAAGTTTCTCTAGGTGAAATTCAGCTCAGCAAGAAGGATGCAAACTTTACTTTTCATTACATCATTTCCCCAAAGCAAAATTGGTCTTTTTGCAGAATTTTAATGGAAAAGTGACTTAAAACACAGACTTTGGGATGCTTTGACAAGGGAGCATCAAACTCATAGTAAGTCTCTTTCAAAAAAACAAAACAAAACAAAAAAAACAACCACCAAACAAACAAACAAAAAGAACAGACCCAAAACCCGTTGCTTTCAACTTTAGGTAGTTTATAGCCACTAGCTCCCTGTTGCAGTGGACACTGAGATTGCAGGCATTGATGGCTATGCTGGAATGATGAGAACCTTGGGGTACTTCTAACATTCAGTTTTCTGCTCTGACCGTCAGCATCCCTTAATCCTGTTTACTCCTCAGACTCGATTCTTCCATGTTTTACGTTCTGAAAATCTAGGGGATGGTAGGATCCAGTAGAGATTTGTAATTGCTTCCTAAATGATGTCACTGCCTCTTTTTATTTGGTCATTGATACATAGGCTAATAATTTCTATAGTTAATGGAACTGCTGAGAACAAGGATTTTGTTCTCCCTTGTTTAGTAAATCCTAAACCCCAAAGTTATATATATGCTGTATGTATTAGTTTTAATATTTAAGACCAGCACAACCACATCATGGGAGATGTCTAGCATTAGATGCAGTTTCCAAAGGGTTGTTAAAATGAAGAAAAAAAAGGTGCCTTCCAAAAACAAACACTTTTTTCTTCATCTAAGTTGTGAAATTTAAAATGACACTAGAATAATTATGATTGCTTGCTGTAAATCTGCATAGATTTGGTGCTCTCTGATTTTTTTTTTTTTTTTTTTTTTTTTGGTTATAAAGATTAGTTTACTGTCTGTGGACTGAATCCTTCTTGCATTATACATGTGACTAAATCTGTGGGGCCCAGTGACCAGAAAAAAAGACCCAGAAAGGCATTAAAATTGTTTAGCCCATTCAGCTGCAAAGTCATCTTACACATTTTCCCCCTAACTGGTTTTGCATATATTATTGTCAAATATGAATCTGCAGAATATCTCCTGGTCTGGAATTCTGTCCCCTTAGAGCAGTCAGCAGTTCTCCTGCAGCCTTGCTTAGCGGCTGGTACATGCATGTGTTAGCACCTATGTACTGCGCTGTTTTCCTAAGTAATAATTTTCATATTTATTTTCACACTTTCTTAATTATTTTATGTAGCTCATTGGTTTCCAGCATCAGTCTGCATCTGTTCTTTCATTTTTTAAGCTGCCTGCATAATTTGGAAAGTTATCAATAGTGTGCAGTCACTAAAGCAAGACAAAGAAAGATAAAAATTAATCTAAGCTTACTTTATCTATGGTACTGAAAGACAGTGAAAAGTATTGGTCATAATGTGTAGATGTAAGGCTACCCTCATAGTAAATGAATCAGTTTTAATGTCTAGATAAATAGCTGTATACCTGTAAACTAAACCTGTTTATCCAACTAGTCCAACTTGCCAAGGATCACTGTCAAAATTTTGAATCCCTTTAAAAGTTATTTTTCAGAACACGGATATTCTGTATATAACTTCTGTTGTACTATTTGAAATGGAAACGGGCTGCGAAGCCTGCCAACTCATCTTTCATGTGCCTTTCCCACTGGTGTCTCTCTCTTTCTGCAGAATCAAGCTTGCACAGCAGAGCGTTTCTGTGTTCCCTTTTACATGTGGTCCTCGTTAAAAAAATACAATGAAGTTTAGCTGTGGTGAAATTATTTATTTGATTTTTTTTTTAACTGGTGCAAAAAGTAAATATGTTTACTGTGTCCCTTTCCATTCAGTGTATTTCCTTTTTTAAGCTCCATTTGTGTTCAACAAGACAGCCTCTTTCTCCAAGATTAACATTTCTTATGATTGTTCCTGACAGAGGATTTACTTTCAGAGGCCCTGCTAAGGATAACCAAAAAAGGGCATGTAGCAAGACAGTTTTGGCAGCTTGCACGAATTTTCGGAGCTTTTTAGGTCTTGGTTTTCTGATGAGTGGCTTCCTGAGCATGCCTAGGGAATGACCGGCATCTCTGCAGGCAGGCTGAACCCACCTTGGCTTGTGCGTAGTCATTGGCTGCCTATTAGAATAAATTGAGGACAATGCATACCGCTGCCTGCCAATTGTAAACATAAGGGATATGTATTCACTTAGCATTGACTTTTGGGAGGGGCCAAGGAAAAGCTGTAGTTTTATTGAATAGGGCTGTGTGTGAGGCTGCTGGTGTGCCTTTCTTGCTGTGCTCCTGCCCAAGCAGCCAGTTATTCATTTCCTTCCTACTAGTTGAAAACTTTTCAGCCACAGAGGTAAGGGCTTAAGATATGTATTTGTTTGGGAGTGAGCTGGTCTGACTGCGTTTGCGTTATGGCTAGAGATTAAGCAGCATGCGAAACCTAATGAGCTGTGGAAATAGTGTGAAAGTGTCTCGCCCCGTGTCCCCCCTCTTTCCAGATGTTTGCAGTGAACTAAGGGAGATATCTGTGCTGGGTGGGTGGAGGGGGTGCATGCTCGCCCACCCCAGCAGACCCTAATGTGGAGGTGTGGGGGCAAGGCTCTGGGTGCAGGGCAGGATCTGTGCCGGTCCCACTCCGTGTGAGATCCTGCAGTGGGCTTGTTAGTGGAGAAAATAACCTATCTGTCCTTTCTTTCTTTCTTTTTTAAAAAAAAAAAAAAAAAGGAATTGCAATGAAAAAGTTGCTAGCTTGATAATGGCTGGTGAATTGCTTTTAATTTTGCAACCTAATACCTGGGCTTTCAGGGCAGCCTGACTGTAAAAGCAGTCTCTCGGCGTAACTGATACAGATACAGTAAAGCTCTGGTTAATGTAACTGATCTGATACTTGCTGAAGCAGATGTCTGTCATGGCAGCCTTTCACAGAAGTATTGTTGACAATAGATGGCATCCGTTTTTGTCTTCAGCCTTCAACATGCGCAGCAGCGTATTGCCAGAATGTTTCTTGTGAAGTTGTTTTTCCTGTTAAAAGGGGGAGAAAAAATGCACTTGGGTGGGACCGGAGCTCTTAAAAGTCTGGGTCTGTGTTTGTGTCAGTCAGAGCGCTGCTGGGGAGAGCCAGCGAGCAGGCTCTCCTTCCCAGTTCCTTTGACATGCTCGGACAGTTTGAAAGCGTTGTGCAAGGCTGGCTGCTGATAGCACGATATTCTGCATAGCAGGGGATTTCTCAGAGAAAGAGCTGGGAAAATGAAGGGAGGGATGCAGTTAGCTGCAGATGGATACTTGGGAGCAGCAGACATTGACCAAACTAGTAACCTCTGGCCAGACCTGCAGCGATAGAATTGATTTTTCTCATATATCATATATTGTTTGGAAGAATGGGCAAGATGACTGTTTTAAAATGACTTTTTGTGGAGTATTTGTTTTCAGAGGAGTGAGTATTTTCAGAGTATGCAGGTTTTACGCAATTTTGCCTAGCTGAGAAAGCTTCTCTTGCTAAAAGGCATACAGGAGAATAATTTGTGAAAATAACATGTTCCCTCCTTGGCAGCAGCTCAAAGAAAATAAGGAGGTAGAGTGTTTCTTTTGAGAACAGTGTATTTATTATAATTTGTCTATTTTAGGTACCATACTGTGAATGATTGTGCTTGTATAGTTTGCCATCAAAGAACCCTGGGACCCTGCATCCATTCTTCCTCTGTCTCATTAAATGTAGCAGTAGGTTCTGTGTGAGCGTATGCATCGGCAAACAAGTTTCATACCTTTCTCCTGCCTTGGAGAGACAGGATGGGGTCCTAAAACTACATATGCCAAAAACCAATGAAATGGACTACTTTAACGTAAATTACAGATGGAGTGATGCTTCAAGGAAGTAAGTGGTTCATTTGCTTAATTAAATAACCTTTAAGGTAAAGTGGGTCTGAACTATTCTCAACATATTTGGAGAAAGTACAGGTCTGCCTTTCTTTGGGAGGCTTTCTGATAGGCAGGTATCTCAGTCAATAAAACCTGCACGCGTTAATGTAATATCCAAATCATGATGGCAGAGGAGAAACACTGGATAAGATGCCTGTGAACAAGAGACTAAATTGAAATAACTTGTATTTCCTGAAAACTCCTCTTTGTTGCAGCATGCAATGACAAAAGGATCAATTCCACAGCCTTCATTCACAGGATTAGCCTTGATGAAACCAAGACCGTCATTAACGGATGCAGGATCTGATGCAAGGGGAGTCCTGTGTACTCTGACTATGCTTTGACAGTGAGTGATGTAAGCATGTATTAAGAGAATAAGGGATTTTCCACAATTGCTACTTCATACGCTAACAGCATTATGCTGACACGGAGCAGCCTGAGAAAGGTGTAACTTCCCTTGTGCTTTTATTTCTTGTCCAACACTGATACACAGTGCAATAGTGACACTGAAAAATAGGTGACTTGAAAGGAAAGGGGTGCTGTAAGTTCCTCTGGCTGACAGAGGGAAAATTAAAGTGCATTAAGATGGGAAGATTTCTTATTCCTCAAAGTCTTGTTCATGGGGCCACACGTGGCATGGAGGCATGCTGGTCAGCATCTGTCCAGACCCCCACGGGGTTAGGGTGCAGTGCTACTGATGCCAGGTGGTGAGACTAGAAAGATAGAACTTTTTTTTGCTGGCTGCGTGCTGGCACGTAGGCATTCTGTCATATGAAGAGAAAGATGACAGGGAAGGTCTATCAAGAAGTCCTCCTTGTTTCACCCTTCCCTGCGTGCAGCTGGAGTGGCCCTGCCTATGGAGGTGATCTTTCCATTGCACAAAAGTGAGAGCCTGCAGGTCTTCCTTCCTGCAGGACAAATAGCATTTGAATGCCCTGGGACTGTTTAAAATACTCTGATTTCCCAGTTGCTTACATGCGACCTATTCTGTTGGCTGCCCAAGTTACAATTTGTATTAAAGATCAGTGGAGTTGTTAACCCCTCTCTGCCAAGGGTACAAGTTGGTACATTTGGTTGCTGCCCGTGAACAAAGAGGGACAGGAAATCATATATGCATAAGAAAGAGGGCCAAGGGAGCAGCATTAGCTGTCCATCTGCAGTGCTTGTCTGGACTCTTCTGGGTATCAGACAAAGCACCAAAAAAGGTAACAGGGCAGAATGGGAAGTGCAATTCTGTGAACCTTTCGCTGCCTTTGAGAGTAGCTTTATGGGGAGTTTGCAGGATTGGGCTCCAGGTGTACAAAGCCTGAGGCAGACAGGCCTGTGACTGCAAAGAGTGGGAGTCTATCTTCAAAGCAAGTTTTCATTCTTTAAAAATTGTCTCTTCTTAGTAACTACCCCCTGGCAGCTTGTAACAAGAAAGCTGCTTCCTTACTAGAGCTCTCACCTTCAGAAATGTGCATGTGCGGAGGCCGGTTTGCTGGTTTTGTTCATAGCTCCTGGGTGGTTTAAAGCCCCATGACCTGGTGAGAATGGGTTTGGGGGGCATCTGTACTGGAAACAAGGTACCTACCTATATACTGGCACTTACCCTTTCGGCGCTGGTGTTTGCTGTGAAGCTGTAGCTGTTGCATGCCTCCAAATGGTTTGTCAAGGATTTGGCTAAGGCTGAAATTTGACTCAAAGGCATTTGAAGATCAGATTAGATCTGACCTTTCTGGATGAAACACTGAGGTCGTAGGACAGTTGAACTATGTAACAGTTTCTTTTTGCCTTTCCTGATGCTTTTGTACAGTTCAGCTAGCCCAGCGGGGAAGGACACTCAGTACATTGTAATTTGGGATCCCTCCCACCCCCAGGGGAGCTTGCTCCTACTTTTCTTGAAATGGATTTGATTAACCAAAAAGGTTAGGGCACATAACACTATTGCTTAGTTGCTACCCCTGGTATGTTAGCTGTATGGTTTACCTCCTGCGTAAGAAAGTGCTTCTCTTCATGCATTTTTTCTTTGGAACTGTGTTTAGTGCTGATAAATGGTGCAGGGCTGGCAGCCTGGCTGCCAACCGGATACCAGCATTAGCAGCGTGGTCCTTACCGTGTCCCTCTCCCCGAGCATCATTAGCCGGCCCCGTGGGGAATGGAGTCTTCTGGGCTTTCTCACTTGCAAACCTCCTGGCTTCTGTTTCTGTCTTGCAGCAACTGCTGTGCATCCAGCTACAGCAGTGCCCAGGCTTGCTGGGCTCCCCAGTGGTGAGGCGGGTGGGCTCTGAGCTGGGGCATCCACCTCCTCCACCTATGGTCAGGAACCACCACTTCTAACTGATGACTCTCTCCCCCTCCCTGCCCCTTGCGCCTGCCACTTCAGAGGGGAAAACCCGTCCATGAAGCATAGGGCACCTCCTGATCAGAAGATCCTGCCTATAGCAGTGTTTATGGGACTTTGGGTTGAAGCCAGGAAGAAGTGCTTGCGGGGACTGTCCTGCTGGCTTGAAGCGGGGGCAGGACTAAATAACTGAGGAAGCAGAGGGAAGAGAGAAAGGAAAAAGGGGGCTATATCTGAAGCCACTGGAGTAATTTCTCCTTTGAATTTTTTCCTGTGGCCATAAATACCTGGTGAGTCACTTAATGACTGTGTGTCTGTTTCTGTATCTTGAAGTAAAGGATAACCTGTGCCTTTTTATATTTAGCCCATGGGGCTGTTGGGGCTTAATTCATTAGTGTTTCTAGAGAATTTGTAATACCAAAATGCCAAGTTTAAGCACTGGCTAAAATCTTATTTTTGACTGATTTCCCAGCAAGAAGATACACTTTTTTTGTTTGTTCACACAGATTTGTATTCTACTAGAAAGTAACTTTTTCTAGATTGTGGATATAAAACCACTGAAGCCCAGCGAATGAGGTGGAAGATGGGCCAGGCTCCGTAGCGACACTGAGCTGACATGTCTGGAGGGAATTTCTTGGGTGCTTGTAGATTTAACTGCACTTGCTGCATCTGAGACAGAGCCTTCTTGTGAAGTTGTCGTGCATGTACCAAAAACATGGGATGACAGCTTTTATTTACAGTCCTGCCATAGTGTCATAAGCTTGGTAGAGAAACTACTACGCACGCTGCTGAA